GGGTCTGGATGTTTGTCCTTGTGAAATTTATGTTTGTAAACTACCTCCACGATACAGGAGAAAATCCTAGTGTGGATTTAAATCTATTATTCTAATAAAACCCTAAATAGATTGTTCTGTAAACGTTTGTGCATGTTAATCTCCACATTGGCTGATCCGATTTAAATGGAATTTTCAGTGATGTATTAAAATAATCTTTTGCTGACGATTAGTGTTTAATGCATTTCAATTGGTACAAAAAATATGGCAATATTAAAGCGCGTTTTCTCTTGTCCGATGAAAAAGTTTCTACGTATGAAATTCCCGGCAATATATCAAAACTATTGCTTTGAGATTGTTGTCATGTTATTTAGAACACTATGATTGCAAAAAAAAAACTATACGACATGTAGGCACAGTATCTAATGGCACATGATTTTGAATTAATTATTCATTCACGTGTAAGGCAAGATACGAAGAATAGTTACTTATTTAATGTGGTTCTTCACGATGTTTAGCAAAAAGTTACAGTACAGGACTGGTGAGATTTAATACGGCGAAGTTGAGCAAGCTTTTAAACGAAGGTATCGATAAAATTTTAGCATTAACATAAATTATAAAACAAGAATAAACAAAACTATCAAACTATATTTATTGTATGATAGATTCGAAAACTATTTTCGTCTCTTCAAATAAATTGTTTTTAACGCTTCCATTTAACACCAAATGTATTATATATTATGGGAGTATTTTAAAATGAAAATAATAATAAATTATTTTGTGGCTCTTATAAACAATAAAACTATATTTTATTTATTAGTATAACCTAGGTAGTTTCAGAACAGAACTTTAACTCGTTAACTTCATTTACTGACGATTTATTGTGTCATGTATATTAATAAAGTTTAAAATTTCCAGACCAGGACTTACGTATCAAACGCTTGTATTAAATTGCCTTCGACAACATCGACATTTCACTCACAGCACTATTATCATAAAATACCGTACAACTAGGAAACCAGTGGGACCAGTCCACAATCAAGCTTGTACTTCTCCATCAACTATGATTGAACCGACTCACTTCCCTATGCATGTGAACCGAGTATATTTCTCATCGCCTCTGCAGAATCGGGCGATGACCACATTTAGTACGTATTATATAATGCTGTTCTTCATCTAAATAACAGCATCATAATAATATCTCGTTTCCTGAAGGTCGTTCTAGTTAGAAATACATTTTGCATATTGTTGCCATTTCCGAGGATAAAATTGCCACGATTCTGGAATATAACAAAGCAAATTTACAATTTTTTAACAAATTCTACAATAACATTCAAGATGTATCATTATTTAGGAGAGCTCCATGTTAAGCAGTAGACTGAGGGGCTGTGATGGTATTGATGATTTATTTTACTTACCCTAACTTGTCTATGGTTAAAATATGGGAAGATTGTCTCAAAATAGCTACAGAAAAAATATTAATGAACCGTCAAAATTACGATATTTATCCCAAGGTAAAAGTACCATCTTCTTGAAACTGTACCTTTATAGTTTCACACAGTGAATCATTAAAATGTTGTAACGGTACTGATTCAGTTGTTAAGAGTCAGAGCGTCATAGAAACTAAAAAACATTTTTCGTGCTGTTAGTCACGGGTGCTATGAGCAAGCCCCAAAACCTATTGTTTCGACAGTATGCTTGGCATACGAAACGCATTCTGTTTGCTCTATTTCCAGAGTAGTTGCCGTTTACTTTATGCTACGAGGGATTTTGCGAGCAAATAAAACGTCAAAGTAAATATTTCTGTTCCATTTCTAAGATTGTACGAGTACGACGAGTACGAGTGATCTTTGAAATTAAAAATCATCACTATTACTCAAAATTCACATTTTTAAATTAAATAATACCTCATATAATTTCATGGACGCCATTAGAGGCGACAAACGATATGCAGCGGTATTTTCCTGATAAAAATCGAAATAATTAAAAAAAAACTGCGCTGTGCAACTCACCAGCCAAGCGTTGCAACTATGTCAAATAATGTCATTCAGACCGAATTTCGGTCATGGTGGCCAGTTACAACGGAGGCCAGCCGTCTACGCAGGACATGATTAGAGTGCAAGAGGCGCCAACTATTCTCTCACTCTCAGAGTTCTATGGAAGAGAGGCACAGAATCAACGACTTTACGTGCTTTTAGATGAACGGCCGTGAAACAACGGCAACTTTCTGACTCCGAATTGTTGTGTGTTAATAGGCCGTAAGAAACAAATTTTAAGCGTTAATAAACCTAACAACGTGTTCTATTTAAAATATATTTAGTTTTAACGTTTTCTCAACATCTTACACATCTCAGAAATATTTCACAGCTTATTTTTACTCAGCTAAAAACATTTAAAAGTATTTGCCACTACATCCGGGTATAATTTTGATATAAACATATAAAAATTAACTATACTCTGTATAGAAAACTATTTAAAAAAATACTAGCATTGCTACTTGCACGCCTAATATAGCATTGATTTGCGACATAACTCGAATTGCTGATTCGAACCCACAACTTTTTAATTTCTTAGTTCATCATTACCTTTAACCAATATGCAACTACTATCGGTTAATAATATAATGCTTCAAATAAATTATGTAGGTGTGATGTGTACTCATTATTTTCTCAAGTTTGTAAAAGTTGGTATTTTTAAACATAAATTAATAAACAATTTTAATAAATTAAGTTTGACAATGAGGTATAACGGGAACGCTACACGTAACTCATATATTTACAATATTTATAAGAAGTCGAGTGATCAAAGTGGAAAAAGCGTTTTAATGTCGATACCAAATAAGGAATAAGGTTGACTAAGCTTGTAGATGGCGCCAACAATCGGTTTCTAACTAGCATTAAATACTAACTTGTATTACTTAAGTGGCAATATGTAGATTTAATTAAACCAACAGGCTTTTATAATGATGTACTCACAAAGGAACTCAGTTTTATAAAGCTATTATAAAGGAAATAGATATACGTGAAACGAGGCACTCCATCTTAGTCCTTACGGGTGATAACGCATCTGTATTTTGATTCGTAATCGAGGATAGATGTAGATGTCTATGGGCCACAGCAACCACTTACCATCAGGTGGACTGTGTGCTCGTTTGTCACTCTATCCTATAAAAAAAAGTCTTTCAAAGCTATAGTTTAATCAGTAATGTTCCAAAGGAATTACTAAGACGTCTGTAGTTATCCATAAATATATTTAGTTCCCAACTTCATACCCATAAAGAGCACATATTAAATAAAAAGATCGCTTTCACAGATTGCGCTTAGTTAAACCAACTCCAGTAGGTGCGAGCCGATTGTGTAGCGACGAATCATGTATCAAAATAAGCCTCATCAGCGGCAATCAGATATCTTTTATGTTTCAAAGAGGGTTCAGTTTTATTCATTGATGTAACAAATGATTCATTCAGTTCAACAACCTTTGTGCCTAAATAGGAATAGTGTAAGGCGTGCTCGTTGTAATGATAAAGATGATAGTCACATTGAATGAAAGCTATCATTGAGAGTCGTGTGCACTTCGATTAAACGCACTCCTCGCTACTCATGATAGCCCTGACATACGCCACCAAATGTAGAAGGCAGTCAACCTTGTATTTCTATTTATACATAACTAAGTCGACAGTATCTCCCAATGCAATGAAACCTACAACCTGCGCAATTTATCTCGATCTAAAGCGTAATGAACCAGAATCACCCTTTAAAGATAAAGACTGAATGACAAGCCAACTCCTTTAGATAGCTATATCTGGCTCAAGTAGCAATGTGGCGTTGGTTAGATTTTATTTTATTTTTATTTTGGGATACTATAAAATGAGTTCATAATATCAACGGTTTAGTTGCATTGCTTTATTTCAAGACAATTCATTGATTAGATAGCGTCTAATCAATGAATCATCTAATCAATATTTAACATTTGGATATTGCACCGAGTTCAAGGGCACTTCGCGAAGATACGGATACATAATTATTAGTGGAAAAAATAATAGGTTTTAAAATGATGTAAATAAAATTTATAGTTCTGGTAAACTTTATAGTTATATCTAAGATATCTGAAAATTGTCGCTCTGACTAATCAATCGGACCAACGGACTGATTATGTTACTTTGAATTTGTACCCATTTCCGATTCCAACTAAATGACATAAGCGACATGGGAATGGCTCAGACAAGAAAATGCATCAGTTTGGCTGTATGCCTTCAACTGGCATTTTTCCATAGAATTGTCACTTACGCCATCCACTTTACGAAATGCATCGATTGATTTACTTATTTGCTAAAACATAGCGACAGCCAATAAGAAACATAAAATTTTAAATTCCTTTTATATTGTCGTATAATCTTCATCATTTTCATCATTTCATCATATGTTGATTCTATAGATACCAACGTAGCTCGTGTTTATTGAAAACACCATTACTTCGAAACAGAAAAATGAATGACAGTTGAATTAGAAAAACACAACTGTGAGATACAAAATCTCTAAGCTATTTTTATTAATCTGTTTGTTTAAAACCGTGAAGTTAAGTAAGACATTCTCTCTACCGTAAACGATTTTCATTTTACTACGTTTTTTTACCTTTTTTGAGTACCTCTTCGTTTGTCTGTTCGGTAAAATTTTTGTAATGTACTTTAAACTAAAACTTCTCGATGAGTGGGTGAGAGAATGATGGCTTGAAACTTTAAATTTATTTCAGAACTGGATATTCAGTAAAAAAAATTGTCACCATTTGGAGTTATAACTATTGAAGAATTGTTTTCGAGCACTTTGGCAGTTACTTGTTTTAATATAAGCGCGTAGTACGTGCAAGCAAATGGCAAGTAATTTAGTCGTTTTACGCATTCTCATGTCCACGATTTCGGTCATGGATATGATCACTAAGAAATTACGTTAGAGAAAAATAATCTGTTTTACGATTTTTTATATAAGGATATAACAAAAATGTTTCTTTATTTAAAATATACTTACATCTGGATGCTCTTTGACTGGCACGTATACTTTTTCTGTGAGTGTGGTGACAACGCCTTCTGGCTCTGGTAAGATTAGAGGTTCTTTCTTGACTCCATTTATTTGGAATAAACTCGCTCGTACTTTTGCTATTTCTGTAAAGAAAGCAATAAAAAGTTTAGTGTGGCATATAACAACATCTGCGTCCATAAATTTCTTAGATAAAACCTGTCATATTAGTTACGATAATTTTAGATCTCCGCCCGAACAGTTACTCGGAAAGATAAAATTTTATGTGTCGTTCCGAGAATTTATCTTCAAAATATAAAATAGATCACAAATTACTCGCAAATAGTTATAATAGTTTCATTAGTTAACTGTTAGGTTCAAATCTCTATGGGAAAACATTTTAAGAAATACATGCAATTTTTACACCGAAATGTAGAAGTGGTCGGCCTTTTATTTAATAATATCCACAGTATAAATTATCGGGATGTTTTGAATTATATGAAGTATTTTGATGTGAAACATTACCGAACAATATCTATTTATATTATTGACGATGACATATAAGTATATTTTAACTTCAAGAGATTCTTGATTTTCTCAACTCTCATGGCTTATGACACCATTTTTAAATGCTGAATATAATAATTATAATGAAAAACATATGAGAGCTCGAGTTGTCATTGAAAACACATTCTCAAAGATGAAAAACAAGGATAGAGTTCTGCATTACAGGCCTGTAAGATGTGGTAACAGTGTGTTAGCGTGCTCAGTGCTACATAATAAATACTAATTTTTTTGTTGAGAATAAAGAGACAAGAATGGATAGGTATCCTAATTTTAAATTAAATAACTATAATAGATTAAGCTCACTACTAAATAGTAAACCTGTTAATTATTTTTAGGTCTGCAATTTTAAAGGACAATGGAATCTGACCACCTGTGATTTAATTTGAAGTAGAATATTATGAGATCAGTTAGCAGGAAGGTTACATAAGGATTAAATTAATAAATTTGAATAAACCTTTCTTTTATTAATAATCATTAATCAGTCTTAAATTATATCACAAACTTAAATTAAGAGTAACATAGCAAGTATAAGTAACAACAATATATTATTATGTATTAATTGGTTAATCTTTACAATACCTAGTAACTAATTTATCTAAAATATCTAAAACTCTGAATCCTAATGATTGCCACTCTCTCTGAACCTGAACTTCCATTTCCCTGATTCTATTTTGCATGACATGAGAAACGTCCATGTTAAGATGACTAAGCAAAAATGTCGTCCTAAATTTGGTTAGTTTATCTCACGAAGCGAACATGCTACCAACATAAGAAAAGGAATAAACGCCATTCGTGGTGAGCAAACGCGAATCGAAAGGCTAACTTCGATTGTAACTCACACTTCTTCGCTTGTATTCGCATATCGATACCGATGACGTTACCGGTTAACGCGATGGTGAAGTCATACGAATAATTTTGTGGAACTCGCACTAGGTACACAGGAGAAGGGCAGTTTGCCAACCCGCTTACCAACCGTGTTAACTAACCTATATAATAAATAATGACTTTATCTTTAACTTTAACTGCGAGTAAAGGTTTTATAACTCTTCAGATTAAAGCGGTAACTGACATCACTTGACGATAGACAGTGGGCTTTACATGACAAAACGATGTCATTTTCAGGTCGCGATGATGAATATTTGCATAAAATTTTCATGATGTAAGTAATAAGAAAATAAACATCTGCAACATAAATTTGCAGATGTTAATGGAAGAGTCGGAAAAGGACGGCCTAGACGAAGATTTATCGAACAAATCGGCGATATATTGAAAATAGGCCAGATTAGGAGTACCCTTAACCGACGAGCGTGTATGCGTATACATATGGATGTAAAGGAGGAAAGAGAACCAGAAAACAGAGAGGTGTGTCAGGATCGTGTCAAATAGAAGTCCATAGTCTCTGCCTACCCCTCTGGGTGACAGGCGTGAGTGTTTACATATGCATGTACGAAATAAAAAGCAATTTTTTGTCTTCTTACCAATGCCGTTTTATTTTTTTTTAATAAAATTATGAGAATGGAGCATGTGAATAATCTGCTTTTATTCCTTATTTCCAATGTACAACGTTAATTATCATAGTAAATCAATAAAATTTTGTTTAATATCATTATTATCATAGTTCAATACACGAAGACGAGCCCCACGCTTCTCCTACATATTTACTGTGACTATGTAATATGTGTGTTGAATAGTTCTGCCACCCAGTAACCGCGGCATATTAGCAAATCACTCTATCCACTTGAATTATCTATAAAAAGTATTATCTATAACCACTGCAAACACAAATTTAAAGAGCTTATCGTATTTTTTCACTTGTCGATGAATAACTTGCTATCGCAGCAGAATAACAATTTCTAAGCAAATATCATTTTTCCTATAGCCGATGCAAGGCTGACAATACGCAATGTTATCTAATACAGCTGTTTATTACCACAAAGTTAATGAAGGACATAGCGTTAAACAAAATACATATAACGCGTTTATTATTTTGAACTGTAACTCGAATGTCTTGACACACTTGTTCTTTCCTTTATAAAATACCCCCACGCTATGAATTTAGGTTGCATGATAGATAAACTTCCACCTTCCCCTCCATGTTTGCAGACACATGCTATAATACGTTTATATATGGGTTTGATTCTACCTTCTTTATTCAGATGAAGAGGCGGAGATTTGTAGACTAATATCCGGAGTACACGATCAGATGGCCATATGTTTTGCGACATCGTTTGCATTTAAATGGCGTTCTTCCACATATGTATGCTGTTAGTTGCCGATGTAAATACGCCTACCTGGTCTACTTTTGCTTACTGCTCGTTCTTTTAATCTACACTTCAAATGACGACCCCTTCCAATCTGTATAGAATCTCGTACGTCATCTAGATAGAGACAATATTCTAAATTTAGCTACGCTTATATTTAGTTTTGCTTATTTTTTCTAATTATTCATTAATATATATATTTAAATAAGCTAATAATCTGTTTCGTTACAAATTTAAAGTCGCCGGGTAATAATTTTAAGTTTAAACATTTTGTAAGTTAGACATAACCGTGTCAAATGAATCCGATCCGTGTCATAAACTATATGCAATATTGACAGGACGGAACGCAATTTCCGCGTTATAAATAACCTGGTATGAACTGAGACAGTTCTTCCAATCACTGATTATATTCGTGTTAATTATTCAGAATTAGGTATCTAATTCCATTGATTTATGAGAGGCAATCGAAAATAATTTGCTAGTGGTTATGTTTTTATAATTTTGAAAATTTTACTTTATTGTGCTTTTGCGTTTTAAATTATTATATTCTTTAGATAATATTGCCGATAGTACAAATTATATGAACATGCAGTTTATGAGAGAATATGAAAGAATAAACATCTGTGGAGTGAGCTAGTTGACTTCATACAAACGTCTGTGGTTAACGTTATTAGAAAAAAAAAATGAATGGAAATGATATTTCTACGATAAGTCACGTGACTGGCTTCACAACTGTCAACTTCTAACCTTGTAGCAACAAAATTTTTTTTAATGAAATTGCACGTTTGTTTCTGCAACAGCAAAAACGTGCGAACATCGATAGAAACACCTTTGTTTTTAATAATACGTGCAAATCACAACCCTTGAGATTGTGTATGTTTCGAAGTGGAGTCCACACGTAAACGAGTTTCAACGTAAGGCGCTATCAAGCACATGTGATCACATACGAATGTGTTGGCCTGACCATAGCGAGTGCAGTAAGGACCGGACAATGCAGAGGAGCTTTCACGCCATATAAGGCGGGTCAGCGCGTAAACATGCCGTTAGCCCGCCGCGAAGCCACGATCGCAGTCGGATTATGCATTTAATTGCCACCTTCTCTTCCATATCAATGGCGCAACCTTTTTTATGGATTCGTTTCCTATCAGTTTCTGATTTTCACTAAAAATTTAAACATTTTTAAGGCAAAAAGCGCAAATTGTATAAAGGCGCAATCAGTTATAAAATTATAAACCTGTTTAAATTCTACATGACTAACTCAAGTGCAATTATTATAATGTATGAATGAATTTATAGACAGAAATAATAAATAAAGAAAAATTATTAGTTGACAAACGCTACGTTCGTAGTTGATCTTTAAGGTTCTAATCGTTATAATTTACGGCATAACTATTATTTTAGTATTGTATAAGTATTTTTTATAACCGTGAATAATTCTCAGATCAGTGATGATTTCCACATAAAACTAAATAATAATTAAAAAGGAAAATACATTCGAATTGATAACCTCTTGTAGTTTGTTAAAATATATAACAATGCAATAATATGTAGGTACATTACTTAATGAAACAAAAGTAATGATAGCTACTGGAAGTAAAAACTGGCGTGAATGGCTTAGTTTGTGCCGTGATTCTATTGTGGGACTAGATTTCTACGTACAGAAAAAAATTGATCTACATGAATCACTAACCGTTAACTGCAAGGTCCCTCTTATAGCTGAATCATTATAAAAATGACTTTAAAGTTGTGACAACGGACGTTGACGAGTGTCGAAACACTTGTAGCGGACGTTTGAACAATGCAGCCGCCTTTGTGCTAGCAAATGAGTCTTTGAAACAAAAACAAAGAACGCATAATGGAGGCTGTGTTTTGACGTAGTTGATCTTTTGCTTGTTCGTCAGCCTGTCCGCCCGCAGACATACATGTGTCCGGTTTGATTAATGTACTCGATTTCGAAACAAGGCTGTACGGATTTGTCACATCCCAGATTTCGTAAACTTTTTGTCAAAAAACATTATCAGACAGACCTTTTATAAAGCACAAGCAACAGATTATTAGAAAATAATTGCATTATTAAGGTCGCAAGTGTGATAACTTAAATTAGGAAATAAAATGTACGTTACATGTATGTCATTGTATAATAATAAAGATTATTACACTTAAAGCTTCATTTTATTTTACCAGGCGATTGAATCTAAAAATAATTGTTGTAAGAACCTAAATTAAGATTGTTTATTGTAACTTGATGACTAAAATATATCTTCGTAATAGTCAAGGGCTGTAGGGTGAATTTTCTTTTAAAGTTATAAACAGCTTTT